GAGTTATCTTCAAGGAAGGAAAGGGCGCGTAAGGCTCGAGCCGCCCGACAACAGGCTACACGCGACGCGGTCTATACTCATAAAGTGGTGCAATTCCGCTTTCAACCCGTGCACTGGCCTATTCCGATCAATGAGAAAGTCAAATGAACGACAGAGAAGTCGGGGATGATTAAGCCAGATATGCAGCTGGTACATGATTATTTCCTCATTCAGGTGGACAACCCTGACTGTGTTACTGTCGTTGCCCTCTATCCAACAGACAAATAGTTTCTTCTGAGAAACAAACAGCTGCAGTTTAGAGGCATGCATGTGCAACTCTTGGCATGGTCCCCTGCTGATCCGCAATCCTCTGATGAAAGAAGAAAATATCTCATGAATTCAAAATTTTGGGTAGAATTTCGGTTCGCACCCTTGTGTGTACAAGGAGCGATTCTCGCTAATCTAGAAGATATAGCCCAAGTCAAGGGTTATATCACGGACTTGCCCCAATTCTTGGGAAAAGGGACGATTCACTGTTAGTCGCTGTGGATTGGGACCTTGAATACCCCTTTCCCCTGAACGATGAATGAAGGTACTCGCTTGGGGGAAAGGAGTTCTCAACCCCGATCAGCCACTCCCAAGACTCATGGTGCTATGCTTGCAAGCAGCGAGGTCACCTATGTACTCACAATGATTGCCCGAAAAATGCCAGCAAAATGAAAATCAGAGGCCTTGTGTCTCCACGTCCCACTGATGAAGAGAGTTGGTACCTAGAGGAGCAGGAACTCCAAGGTTGGATGTTAACAGCATATGCTAACGACCACCCTGGAAAATGGATATGGTAAGGGAAGGGCAAACCATCAGCATTGCCATCAGGAGCTGAACTTATAATTCCTGAAGACCATAAACAAAAAGGCAAACATGTGGACTTCAGGAGACCGGATAACATCCTACCCCACCTTTCGAGGGATCGTGTACCCAGGGTACGGATACAGAGGTCGGAAAATAAAGAGGGCAGAATTAGATAAGAAAGTCACAAGACGGCAAACGTCTCATTGTGGCTGTCCTTCAAACCTACCTTTGCGTCCCCCCAACAAATTTATAAACCCAAATCGATAAAGAAGGCCGATGTGGAGCCACAGGAAACGGATCGGACGGAGGAACCGGGATTTAATAGTCAGAGCCTCAGAGGAGACAGGAAGACGAAGGTAAGCAGAAAACACAGAGTGAACATGGAGTGGAACAACTCATGAATCTACCCAAGACTCATGGTAAAGTCGGGCAAGGGGGTGAGGATAACTGGATTCAAGCTCACAAACAACACAAGACAGTTAAAAGCAGCAAAACAGTGGACACACTCCAATCTGGACGATCCTTCGGTGGGGGAGGACCACAACATGCTACCCATGGTAATTCCCTTCAACTGATCCAGCAGGCAGCAATGAAAATTGATCAGTGTCCATTTGGCCTTGACTCAGTCTCCCTACCCTCTCCGAGGACACCTGTAAAACAACAGTTGACGGAGTGACTATGCAACTCCCACCCCCACCGCAGAATGGTCTCGTATAGTCCAAGGTGACGGATACTACGCAACATCAACAACGGGAACAAGAACTGAGCAAAGAAGAACATAAGCATTACACCACTCTTGAGATCTCTGCCCCAACGTTGGCAAGGGCGTTTGAGCAAAACCGACCCCTATCCGGGCAACAACACTTGCCGGAAGGGAGTGTAAATGTGCTTGAAGGAAAGGAAAAGATCCATACGAAACACGTGCCTCCCCCTCAGTCCACACAACGTCGGTCTGAGAACGCCTTGACCCTGGCAAAAACAGTGGTGAGAAGGAGATGTTCTGATAGTGCCATTGCTGAGTTTTTGATTTCTTGGCTAAGAGTAGTATGGACTAAAAATAAGTCCACAACTGACATACTCCACAATTACCGAATGATGGCTAGGAATGCATCAGATGTCTGCACATGTGATAGGGGTAACCACAACTTCCCTCGTAACGCGGAAGCACATGTGTCTTTTAGATTTTCTGAGCTAACAGACCTACCTCCTTCTCTTAGGAATTCTAAAAATATCCTCAGACCCTCTTCCTCCCAATCTGTCAGACGAGTTAAGCGTGCTTTTTCGGTGGGTTTGTCTACTTACTATTCCTAGCCAAGATAATTGGGTTGGTAGCTCGAGAACGATTTTGTCCTGTTTTGCATATAGAACACCTAACGACTCTGTTTCTGAGGGTGTAGCTATCCAATGGAAAGAAAAACTGGACGGTTTAGTGGTCTGTCCTATAGACCACAATATCGGAGATACCTATGTGTGTTGTTTATCTGTCTATAATGCTGCTTTGTCTAAGCTGTACTGGAAAAACGACGGGTTTGTGACGGATGAAAAGCAAGAAACAGTGACCCTACAAGCATGCAGGGAGTCGTACCATGATGCACAGGCACATCTTTTAGCTTCTTGGGATCCACGAGGGCTGCTGGGATCTTGCTATGGAATTCCAAAACATAAGGATATTTCTAGATGGAGACCCATTGCTCCAACTTTTTTCGAGTCTAGCGTACGCGCTTGTTGGATTGCCTCAAGGCAATTAATGGGCTGCTTTGGAAAGTGCCAGAGTCTAGTCATTTCAGTTTAAAAAGCACGAACCTTTTGAAGAAGCGGATTGAATGTCTTAATCTGAAAGTAGGTAAGATCAATAACGGCATATTGTTGGCAGCTAGTTTCGACATCAAAGAGATGTTTACGAAACTTCCCCATGATGCTATCATTACTGCTGTGGAATGGTTGTGTGACACCTTTATTGCGAAGGGTTTTAACCGATCCGGGAAAGGTTCAACGTTAGGTAAAGCACACGGTGAAAAATGATGGATTCGAGTCAAATTTTGTGATATTGTCCGGTTCGTGAAATTTGATTTAGAACACATTTTCTTTAAAGTCTCATGTAACATGATAAGACAAACGATAGGCATACCTATGGGCAAGACTTCTAGCCCTACTCTAGCTTGTCTGCTCTGTGCCTAGTATGAATCCTCTTTTCTGAACTCTCTGGGGAAGGACCGTCGCCTCATTCAGGGCCTTAGGTTGGTTGATGATGTTGCACTATTTATCATTCTTCCCAATGAGACGAAGGAAGCATTCGAAAAATATTTCGATATTTATCGGCGGTTCGTTTGTCTTTACAACAGCAACCTGACAGTGGTTCGAACGGATGAACGTGATGGAGAGTGAGAATTTTTAGGATGTAGGGTGGAATGCCAGACAAAGCCACCCGTTGTAAGGTGTGAGGCTAATCTTAAAAATCAGACCACGATCTTTACTGATGAAGGTGTGGTATTCCTGTCCACACAAGATTTTTTGTCCTACGGTCCTAAGAGTCTGAAGGTTGGTGTAATTAAGTGCCAGATGAATAGAATGATAACCCACTCCTCGGATTCTAGAGGAGTGGGTTTGTTCCTACTTTCTTTGAGGCGTGAACTACAAAAAAAAAGCTTTCCAGGTAAGGTTTTCTTCAAGGCAGCTAATGAATTTTCAACCAAGAACAACGATTGCTTACAGGGGTGGATCTGGATTCTACGTGAAGGACTGCTGGAAAAAGATTCAAGATAATGATGAGGTAGTAGCGCCACGACTTAGGTAGCGAACAGGCTACAAGACAAGGGCCCAGCGATCGATATCTTGCTGACAGATTGGCTCTGGCTGAGAGAAACGAACTTCCGAGATATTGGCCCGCTGGTTTTTGTCGGTTTTTTTTTGTCGGTTCTTCTTGCTTCTTTTACTTTCTAACCTTCTAGTATGCGTTCCCCTCGACATCCCCCTGCTAGGCTGGACTCTGGTCACACCCATTGTTGCTCTCAACAGGTAAGCCTCCTGGATTTCCCACTTCCTCTGCTGCAGATCTTTCAACCACGGACCATTTTTTGACGCTTACGATATGACGTTTCTTTTGTGCACTTCCTCTACTATCAGCCCAAAAAACTGTTCCCGCCCTCATGCTGTTTTATCCCTATGACTGCTACTCTTCCTGACCTCCCTCTTTCCGCCAAAATACTCCTACTGTTCAATGACATCATCACCACCTCTCCCCTTCCCCATGTCTCCACGTTTTCTCGTACTTTCTATGCTCCTACGCCTCAAGGCACGACGGGTTACTTCACTTGGATGAGAATGGATGTTTATTGAGTATTTAAGAGTATGATCATAGACTCCTAGATAGCACAATCTCCCCTTATGATGGCTGTGCTGGCAACACAGTCGAAACATGTCGGAAGTCTTCGCTGCTGAGCTTTTGTGCTTATTGTGTTTTTTAACTGAAGCTCTTTAGCTCTTTTTGTGTTACTTCGAGTCTATTTTCGCTTCTTCTCCATCACCTCTCTCTCTCTCTCTCTCTCTCTCTCTCTCTCTCTCTCTCTCTCTCTCTCTCTCTCTCTCTCTCTCTCTCTCTCTCCTTTTTGAATATGTGTGATGTTCATGCTTGCGATTCTTTCTCTCGACAACAACAAACGATTCTTTCTCTCGACAACAACAAAGTTCTGAGTCGACCAACACGCTTGGGCGTTACGACTCTCACCATACTCTAGGACGAGTGAGGGAGAGGGAGAGGGAACATTGTACCCGTACCCACGATTACAAGACTAACCATTCTGATCAACTACGAAGAAAAGACGCAAGCAAAGCATCCGTGAAAGGCGCTGTCAAAGGTTTTAAAACCCGTGAAGTGTGGCTTAAAGCCAACTCCCTGCTAAACAAGATCAAAGATGCTGCCTTCTCACAACAATGGGAACCAGCGCTGGCCAAACACCAAAAGCACAAACCACACGAAGACTCCCAAGGAGGGGAAGGAGAAGCAAATCCTACTCAGTGTTTGCAAGAGGAACAAGGAGAGAAGCAAGGTCAATCCCTTGACCCCGTGCAATACCCGATGACAGCTAGCATGACTTTGGTGGTCTTTCAAGTGATGGGGGAAGTCAATTTTTTTCCCCCTGAGCTCCCCAAATGGCCACAGCATGATCTGGAGCGGGTTCGGTTGCTGGAGCTCGAACATGACGAGGTAGTCAGAACCGCTCATCAACGACAGTCTCACCAGCAACCGTTGTCACCACACCACCTGACACAGCAACAGTGTTCTCAAGCTCAAGAAGAGCAGAGTCAGCTGGGGCAGCAGTTGATGCTACAACAACAGCACAAAGAGGTGACAGAGCAAGGGAGGATGGAGCCATGTCTAGGGACACTTCAACAACAACATAAACATGAGGCAAAGCATGGGATTGTGGAGCAATACCCACTGCAGCGACAACAAATGCCACAACATCTGCCACATCAACAACTACCACAGCAACAACTGCCACAAAACGTAGATAGCCAGCTGGTGCATCAACCGACGCTACAACTGCATATTCAGGGGGATGATCAAGGGCAAGCGGACCGACACCTGATGTAGCAACAGCTGGCACAACAACAGGTGGTGCAACAACAACCGCCACATCAGCTGTCACAACAAAAGCTGTCACAAGATGAACATGGTCAACTTGAGCAACAAATGATGCTACGACTACACAAGCAGGGGGTGGAGAAAGGGCTAGAGGAACAGTACCTGGAACTGCAATAACTAGCACATCATCTGATGGAGCAACAACAGACGTCACCGCAAAGGCTGCAGATGACACAACAACATCAGTACAATCAGGTGGCAGATCAAGGGTTGGTGGTGGTGTCCCTGCAACAGCAACAGATAACACAACAACAGTTGACACAAAAGTTGTTTTAAGATGCACATAGCCAGTCCGAGCAACATCCAGCACTACAACCTAATAAACAAGTGTTGGAACAAGCTTAGGCGGACCAACAACTGGAGCAGCAACAGCTGGCACAACATCAAATGGTGCAGCAACAGCTACAGATGGCACATCATGAATGATAGCTAGCGGATCAACTATCAATACAACATCTCCCACAACAACACATATTGTCACAACTATACCACAGGCAAGCCCACGCAGAACAACAGCAACATCAACAGATACCGTGACAACAGCAGCTATGGCATCAACACCACCAACAACAAAAGCAAGTCATAGCTATACAATAACAATAGCAACAACTGTCACAACAACAGCTAAACATCCACTGCGAGGCACAACAACAGGCTCAACAAGGCAGAGAGTGCGAAGACCAACTTCAACTCCTCTTGCAAACGCAGCTGGCGCAATACCACCACCAGCAACATCAGCAAAGAGTATGATAGCAACAATAAATTTTGCAGCATCTGCACCTACAGTGGCAACAACAATTGTGCTGTCAGTAGGAACTCATCCTACAACAACAACAACAACACCTGCATAAGTACTGGCAGCAGGAGTTGGAAACGCAAAAACAACAGCAACACCACACAACGAACTGCCCCCATCTTGCTGCAACTCCTCCCTCGCTTGACATCGAGGATAGACAGATGTCACAGGACATGGACACGTCACCCCCGGACCACCCCTCATAGATCATGCAGCACCGGGATCTGGGCCTTGAGGGAGAAGACATAGAAACGGACCAGGTGCCGGCCCCAACACTGCAAGACAGCCCCCCCCCCCCACACCACCACCACCACCACCACCGTTAGCGGTCAATGAGGAAGTTAAACAAAAATTGGCCTTCCTCACTAAATGGACTCTCACTAAAATATTCTCAATAGCAGGGGGCACATACTATGCTGCACGCCCGGTCGCGGCTGGGGGGGGGAAATCGGCCGCGGCCTCGGCCGACGGCCGAATCGGCCAGGTTCGGCCACGGCCGACCAGCCGAGTTTGGTGCAGGATTCTTTTTTTTTTCTAACGCATGAAAAAATAAATAAAAGAATGGGCGTGTAGGGCTAAAAAAAACCTACACGCCCATATTTTTTGGGGGGGCATTGTTGTTTTCTATTGCGTAACAAAA